GATTAAAAACATTAATGTTGTAGAAGAGTTAAATTCACAAAATCTATGTGTTGAAACTATAGAAAACGTTCAAACGATTAACATTAATAATTATGAAACCAAGAATATTAACGAGATAAAGAACAATAATGAGATCAACAATTATAACGAAGTAAATAATACAACAAATGTAGAAAACATACATAATGAAATTATCACTGAAACGATAGTACAAAATACGATCATACAACAGGTAGTTCAACCTGGAGAAAGACAATCCTATTGGTTTGACAATGTAGTGGCTGTGATTAAAGATGTTGAAAAACGAGTATTAGGTGTAGATGGATCAAATAGAAAGAGCATATTGTTTCCCAATCATGATGATAATGGAAAAAGAAGGAGTACGCTTTTTTCCAATTATGATGATGAAGCAAAGAGAAGAAGTACATTGTCCACTAATGATGAAGTTAAAAGAATGAGTACATTGTCCACTAGCGATGAAGCAAAAAGAAAGAGTACATCGTCCAATAGTGACGACGAAGCAAAGAGAAGTAGTACACCTTTGTCTGACGATGAAGCAAAGAGGAAGAGTACAACATTGTCCAATGATAACGATGACGAAACAAAGAGAAAGAGTGCATCTTTATCCAATAACGATGAAGTGGCTAATAATAGCACTGTAAAAGACGAAAATAATTGATCTTAAGTATCTTAGCATTCTAAATATATTTTTTTATAATTGAGAATAATAAATAGTGATATTAATTTACATGGCTGTTATCAGCTTTAATATATCTTGCATATCTTGCACGAAGAGCAATTTAATTATTTTTCTTTATTAAAGTTACAAAAAAAAAAAAAAAAAAAAAGATTAGCATTATTTTTCTTTGTAACCTTTTTTTTTTTTTCTTTTATTATTATTATATAATGGTAAATAAAGTATTCTGTACAAATATTTTAACTCGTTAAATTTAATATGAATGTTTTACGATTTGTTTTCATATACATATCTGAATACATTTCGATACGCTGTCGCGTCCAATATGCGGGAATAACGGACGCGATAGCAAGTCACGTGTGATGCCATACACAAAATCATATTATGTTTCGTGTCTTTACTAGAGTTGCTGGTGAAACTGGTGAAACTTGGTGAAACTTGGTGAAACTGGTG